TGACTGTATCTATCAATCTATCCATCTACCTATTGCTATCCATAGTCACTCATCATTCCCTATGCATATCCATGTCCATATAGACAGACCGGCCTGAAGGTAGCAGCCACTGACAGTAAAGAGATGCACAGGTATCTGTAGGTCACAATCCCCATGGGGAACTTGGTCAGAGAGACTCTGGTCAGCCTCCTTAAGGCCAATCAACAGATACGTTAAGGGGTTTGTGAGCTACAGAGGTCCTGCTTCCTGCAAACCGCTTAAGTTTCAAGAAGAGGGTAATGTACAGGAATGACCTGAGCTTGCAAGAGAAGGAACACCCATCCATGTCTATCCATCAATACATCCATCCATGCATCCATCCATCAACATGAGCCTGGAAACTCCCCTGAACTCACAGTGTGCAGATATTTCTTAACAGAAAGGCTGCAGGAGGTTGGAGACTCAAAGCAGGTCTCTGTGTTTCCTGTGCAAGTACGTGCCGTTAGCCTGGATTTCATCTGGCTAATGCACTCTGGTAAAATTAAAACAGACGAAGACGAGCCGCACACTCCCCACAGGAATGAGGGAATCACCGGCGTGTCACTGGGTTCCCCTTGGATGTAACATCAGCCTTAACATGAGAGGAACTGCGAAATAGCCAGTCGTAAAACAGACAAGAAGTGAAGGGGACCCCAAATAGGTCTGAGGCATAAAACATAGAAGCATTACTGGTGTCAAAGGAAAATAACTGCCACTGTAGACATAAGTCTCTATCTTGCTTTTAGACATAAGCGTCGGTGTAAACATTAAAGCAAAAAGGGTTAGGGGCATCTTATGGTCAAGGTCGATAGATGGCCAAAGGTTAAATGATGGTGCACAGTGAAGAGAAAAAAATAAAACAACATCTTTCAGGGAAATAACTATGAATGTGTTGCAGGTCATGGTAGTAAAGTGGATTCTTTCTATACATGCAATGCGATGGAGACCTACAGATTTCATTCATGCTGACTCATGCCGTTTTGTTACAGATGGTAAGAAGTGTGGTCAGCACATTGCAGCCCACAGCTAATTGCTGCGTGATCCCTGGCAGTCCCCTCCCCACATAGCCGGCATCAAAACTGGCCTCCTGTGTCCTGGGGGAGGGGAGGGGAGGATTATCATGCAGCCAAACAAAAACTGACTTTTCCGGAAAATCGACCACCACTTTGGTAACGCATCAGACCGAGCAGCACAGCAAACCACAAGCTCATTCAGGGACATCTCACGAATATTGTGCGTGTTATTTTGGCAACACTGTGTGACAGGTTTTTAAAGAAGCAAATTTACATTGGCGGGGTAGGGGGTGAAAGAGGGAGGAGGTGAAGACAGAGCTTGCAAAGCAAACCTTCACATGTGCATGATAAATATTTTGTAAATCAAAATTTATATTACAAAAAGTACAGCATGTCCTTAAGTCTAATCTCCAAGTAAAACTGTAAGCTCTGTATAAATCATATTTTACATCCCCTAATTATCTCAGGAACATAAAATATATTGTAGATTGTGGTATAGTGTTCAACCCAAGTTCTCATTAGTGCTGAAGCACATGTACCACAAACCGCGCTTAATCCCAATTAGCTTCAGATATTACGAAAGACCACAGAGGGAAAATTGAATGACGATGGGATATTACTAATCTCAGCTGAGAACACCACCCCAAGACTTTGCAAACTAATGATCAATACTGTGTTATCGGGCCTATTTAATTTGTGCAATTCTCCAATATCCCATTTTCTGCACTGACAAATAATTACTCCAGCACAAAATTAGGCCTACTAGAATCATGTGGTAATGTACCTACACCAATACTCACACAAAATATTATGGTTTCTTTGCTAACAATGCTGAACTGAAACTAGCTAAGATGATGAAAGGTCGTGACCTTGCATGAAAACATGCAACTGAGCAATACCGTCAGCATTAATAATGAACGATATAGTGACACCTCAAGTGGCTAACATCGCTAATACTTAAAACCAGCTAGCCAATAAACTAGAACTTGGAGACTCATTCAAAACATTATGAAGCCATAAAGCATAATCACTATTTGCATTTTATATGGATAGTAAATCCATGTTGCTGGCTGACAACATGAAGCTCATATCTTGGTTTTACATGCAATTAACATCACCTATAAAGGTAGTAGCTATTGTGCCATTGTCACAGTTTCACAAATATAAACAACTGATTCGGACAACCATAAGAAATTTAAACCAATTTTTTTTTACTGTGCTCTTCCCACAGCTGTAACTGATCCATTATGACCAATAACAACAAAATCACAGCCAAACAGAACCGCAAGAGAAAAATTCCTTGTCGAAGAACTATCCTCTCATGTTTAACCGAACAACTTCATCTGTTGCATGCATCTGACACTCTTTGAGCTTTTGAAAACCGTCACTTACAAAGGCACTACATAAAAAGAAATGCAAGTAAAATGGACTGAATGTGGAATTAAATATATTTTCACTCTAGTAGCAGTGCCAGGTACGCAACCATGCTAAGAGCGTCACATAAAGCTTAATAACGTTTCACGAAAAAGAACAAGAAAAAACATGATTGACAGATTTATCTTATTTATGCTGCCGAATGAGGAGCATGGGGGAAAATTAACCAAATGCTAATTAACTAATAAACCATAATCATGGGAAATATGTTTTAATTGCTAACTGCTAATTCTTCATTTGAATTGAGTTTGACATAAGGGAACTTATAGAGAGAGAGTAAAAGAATAGCCCTAGTTGGGCATGTTCCTTCAAAGTTCTTTGCCTTATATGATTATATTCTCCCACTATCAGAGTGCTAAAATATTATATTTTAATATGAATATATAGCAAAAAACAAAAAATGCAACTAAAATTATTATTTTCCAACATAAAGTGACAAACAAGGGCACATCACATTGACATTCTGGGCCTAGTGGAAAGGAGTTAATCTATTCAGAATGAAAAGCCAAAACCTCTGATAGTAAATAGCAATGGAAATGTATTATGTCATATGCCTGCGTTAAAACATAAAACATGGAGAAATTCTGCAGCTCTTTGACCTTCCAAGCAGTGTACGGAAATCTCCAATTTATCCACAGGATCTGCGTTGGAGCCGGCTGATGGGGTGAAGACAACTTCCCCTTATCAGGGCTCGAAAATGGAGCCACCATTTATGACAGAGGCAACATTAACTAGCACCAGCAGCAAATGTGAGACACGGCAGTCTATGAGCACCATGGACATTGAGAGGAAAACAAAGAAATGACTCCTTAGACAGATCCTGCAGCCGAACATCCAGGGATTCATAGGGATTCATATTACTTGCGTGGTCTTGCACAATTGTGTGCACTTTGTTTAGTGGGATTTTCCACTAAATGCCACTTCCACCTCTCAAAACTTTGTTGATTTATACTGAAAAAACAAACAAAGGAGGGAATTTAAATTTATTTAGGGGACAATTTCTGATAGGTTATCAGGCAGGGCGTTGTTACATTTTGGTAACCTGACAGGAAAACTTCTTTGTCCCGGGATGTTGGGCTAGTGATTTTGCAAGCCCTGGTTATGTTGACAAATCAGCTAGCATAATGCCTCTATAAGGCTCACTGCAGCACCGCCCCAAGATGTCCACACCCTTCCACCGTCTTACCAGTTCGCATAAATCAGGAATGACAGGTTTATGGCAACAACAGGCTCATCTTCCACAGATTCCGTGGACATCCGGTCTCAGTCATCATAACAGCAGGATTCTCTTTGTCAGCTTCTCAACATCTAGCACAGATTTAAGACCTGCTTCTCATGACCAGACATCCAGGTTATGATGTTGCATTTATATAGTTTTTGTCAAAAGCAAAGTATAACTCAGCTTGAGAGAGCAAGCTCAGCCAGGGCCCCTGGAGCAGTTGGGGTCTTTTCTAAAGGCCAAACAGCTATATGATTATTCTGCCAACCATGAGATTCGAACCTACGACCTTCTGGACATGGGTACAGATCCCTATCCCACTGTGCAACACACTTCCACCAAGTTAGGATTACACCAGCATCCCGAGCACAAGAGAGCAATTTAATGAAATTATGCTTCATTTGTCATTTGCAAAGTACGGGTACAGCTACACTGTAATGCTTCTTTTCACATATCCCATCTTGCTCTTGTTTGAGACACTTTGTTCCATTTGACTCAAAACGTAAGGATAAGAACCAAACCCACTCCCTATTGACAAGTATAGCTGCTATGACTTCTCCGGTCATACATTCTTGGCGGAGGTTTCTTCATGAATGAAGTGTGTGTCGGCTCTGGGATGACGCTGCTCCTTTTGGGGGGTTGCTGTGCTGCTCAGCGGGTTAGGCCTCTGTGCTTGTGATCAGAAGGTCATCCTTCTGAATCCCATGCTCAGCAGAACAGCCACATCTTCACTGGGCCCTTGAGCAAGGTCCTCACCTCTTCCCCCCCCCCAGCCCGCCCTGAAAATGTTGCAAGAAGCACTGCATGAATGGCTGACCCTATGCACAGACCACCAGCTTCACGCTCAACGGTATGTATGTGCGTGCAACTAAAAAAGTAAATAAAGCTTCATTTTATCTTAAAAGCCGAAAACGTGACTGAACACCAGAAACTTGCATTAGGGTCTGTCACGTAGCACACGCTGTGGCTGGCCGAGAGAAGAGAGACGCGACTGAAGTGGTCTGACGGGTTCGGTTCCCGCTCAGGAAGAAAAAGCCTCGAGCTCCACCATTGACGAGATACCTCAAAGGCAGAGCGCCGTGCGACCTGCCGGGCGACGGGAAACTCCCCTCCCACTGCACCTTCCATCACACTCTCATTTAGCAGGAAATGACTGTTCAACTAGCTAATGAACTCGTACGCGAGTTTTCGTCAGATCACTAGACCAAACAGGTTGAGATAACAACCTGACACAAAATTAATCTCTGCAGTTGGAGAGGTTAACGTTTTTTAACTTGCACAGGTGGGGGTGGGGGGTTAGGGAGGAATGACATTACCAGAAGCTCGTCCATGCTGGTCTGGCATTTCTCCAGGTTGATGCGTTTGATGGCCACTTTCTCCTTCCTGGGCACGCAGAAGGCAGCCTGGACCACCGCTGTAGCGCCGCTTCCTGAAAGTAGATAAATTTGGTATCAGGAACCAAGAAAATTGGAACAACGCCAACCAGTATAAATACAATCGCAATACATGCACATCCGGCACATTCTAGGCTGACAGGATAGTTTAAAATTACATACATTTAAAGCTACACTTTGCATTAAAATATATCATGGAAAAACTTAAGACAATACTGAACACTGAATATGAAAAACTCATAAAAAGCTCAGATATGAATCCGAGGAGGATATAACGAGGACCTTACAGTACATGCTGCTCTCATGCATATCATTCTGAGAAGACATCTGGTACTCCCTCAGCTAGCATTTGATTTACATTGTAATATTACTTTATTTAGCAGATGCTTTTCTCCAAAATAAAGCCCATGGAGCAATTGGGGGTTAAGGGTCTCACCCAAAGACCCAAGTCTGTAATCTCACTGCTGACACTGGGATCTGAACTGATGACCTTCTGATCTGAGGGACAGTGTCTTAACCTGCTGAACCACACAGTCTGGATGTTTTAACGGCTGACAGAAAAAGCCATGAGCTTCATGTCTTCCTCCAGTGGAACCGGGGGGGGGGGGGGGGGCAATAGTAGGCATCCGGCAACCCAACCCCATAGGTTCAATCATCATTTAAAAACATGTTAACTTATTAAAACAAAGGGTCGTGATTGTGCGATGCACCAGAGTTCTCCTGGTGACCATACTTGCACACAGTTGGCAATCGAAAAGCAACAAGCTGAGCAGTGCCAGCATGTGATACTACACATGTCCCTAGCATGGCTACCACTTACTCTCACCACCAATCAACAGCTCTATTAATTAGATGACTCCATGCTGTCACTCGCATACAACACACGGTGTTACTGTTTTCGGACGTATGTTTGGGTATATTTAGCAGCCACTAGGTTTGATAGGTGAGAAGAAAACATCCTTAGGGGGCAGTTATTTTCAGCTGCTCACTAGGTATCACCTCCTCCTCCGTCCCTTTCATGGCAAAAGAAGTGAGGCTCCCTTCCCAGAATGCCTTGCTGGGCATGTGAATCACAGAATGCGGCGTCATAGAGTTAAGACTTGTGGTTTCGAAGCAAACCGATCAATCACAAGTGATGTGTCCCCATCGGTCACGTCAACACGATTTCTGTCTGCTTCTTCAAATGGCTCTTAATAAACAACACGATTCATTTATAAGCTTTTATCAGTTTCACAAGTTTTCAGACAGCAAACAGGTTAAAGTCAATTTTATGAAAAGAACTGGGCTAAGATGACATCAAGGATGAAGACAAGAATGTCAATAATAACAAAGAGCCATTTTTGATATATTATTCATTATCTTTCACTCTCCCTCCTCGCCTGCATTCTACTTTTAGGAGACGAGACAACTTTTTAAAGTTAATTTAGTGTTTTTAACCACAGTAAGTCCATCAATCTTCCGTATATCTAGTACAGGTTCATGGTGAGTCTGGAACCCAATTTCAAGAAGCAAAGGGAAAGTGAACAGATACGACTAGGGCAATGGCAGTACACGTCTATCCTGAATGCATAATGAAATGAATTAATACATTTATAGACTACTCACAAGTAGGTGTTCAACACAGAAAACATTTTACTAAAGATTTATGCTGGTTACAGTCTGGTTACAGTCCCTGCTGTACTGAAATTGCCCTGAACCACAATTTGTACCAAACCGTTAATTTAGTGCATGTTACATCACTACATAATACGGGAAATTTACAGACAGCATGTTGCCTGACCACATGCTTCTGGACTGCAGGAGGAATACAGAGTGCATGAAGGAAACATGAGGGGAGACCATGAGTAAATGAATGAATAAATGTACAACATGAAACAAAGAGCCTAACATTCTGTATAGGTCATGAGGCCATAATGAAAATATTTTTTAACCCATTACTTAGGGTTCTCCAGAGAGTCCACATTTTTCCTCCCTCCCAGCTCCCAGCTAACCAAGAACACAGAATACTAGGTGCTGGAAGTTGGAGAGGGAGCAAAAATGTGAACTGTCTGTAGGTCCCTGAGGACTGAGCTGAGGAACGCTGCATTAATGTCTACGGTTCCTCAAACAGAAATTTCTCTGGGTATCAGCCTAACGAGCTTCTCATCTTTCAAAACTGAAGGTGTCGTTTGGCAGTTTACAAACACCAATGGGACCATCCTAACAAGGCTGGAATTGCATCATGAACATGCTTTCACACTGTGATAGCTTGCTGATTGGTTGACCACAAGCACCGGTGCTTGGAAGTTACGTAGAAGTGCAGAGAAACAGATGTAGTGGAGCAAAAACTGAGCAGAAGGAATTATTTTTGTACCTCAGTTACATTTAATACATCAGTTAATACATTTTTTGCTTGCATCACCATATTTATGCATCGGAAAAGTTGATCGCTAACCTATATACTTTTGTCTAATAGTGTTTATTAGCGGGATAACATTACATCATTTTTTATTCTGTGGAAAATGAAAGATTGATCTACTGGCCAGATTTAATAAGAATCAAAAAATGTCTCGAGTCATACAAGTAAAATATTAATAAAAAATATTAATAACTAACAAAATGTCTCATTCTTCCTCCATTGTTTTGGGGTTGTGGTGAAGTTTCATATAAAACTATGTGTGAAGTTTAATCTACTAACTTTCTGTGTCTCCCATGCTTATTTAGCATAAAGGTCCCAGTTCCTGTTGTGCGGTGTGAAAGCAACACATGAAAGTTTCCTGGAACTAAATAAGTTCCTGGTCAAGACAGCCCAACAGCCCAGGGACTTGTAAACCTGGACCCAGGTTCGGAACTTTGGTGTTAAAGCGCCTAGAGATGAGTAACAGGAGCATGCAGGACAAATGAGGGTGTATTAACCAACCCCCTCAAAAAACATCAGCGTAGTACCTTATCTGTTGATGAGGGGATATTCCAACACAGAGATAAATCACAAAAACAAACCAAAAACCACAGACACATACATTCTGACTGGCATCTGATGGTATTACACAGTTAACTTGCAAAGCTAGCTAAACAGACAGACTTACCAATCATTTCAAACCAACATTATCTGTGACCTGCATGTACTGAATTACCCCTGGAAAAAAATGTTTATCTGGGTCAGGCTACTTGTCCTGAATCACATTCACTTCTGCAAACAAATTCAGCACACCAAAAATTACCAGCGTTAAGTTAATTTACTAAACAGACCAGATAACATTAAATTAATGTCTTACTCACTGAATGCAAACAGCCCCTGCAGAAAAATAAGAACTGTGAATGATACAATGCAGTTCCAATAATCTGCACTAAACAACTGTGCATGAATTTCGTTAAAATCAAGTGCAAAAAGAAAACACGCCAAACAAATACACCAATACACAAAAACATAATCCCTTCAGTAAGCGTACATTTTATGACCATACTGTAATATACAGAACAATGTGCCAAAACATTAAGACCACCCCCACATGAAGTGAAAAATGCTGACTATCTCATAAAAACGCTGCAGGTCAAGCTCTGGGATACATTACAAGGTATGCTAACATTCACTACTCGTAGTTGGTGTGTTGAATGTAGAGGTCATGGGCAGGTATGAAGACCTGGGTGACTTTGACAAGGGCCAAACCGTTATGGCCATACGACTGGCTCAGAGCATCTAAGAGACGGCAAGGCTTGTGGGTGCTCATGGTCTACCATGGTCAGGACCTGCTGAGAGTGGTCTATGGAGGGAAAAACCACAAAGTGCTGGCAGGGTGTTGGGCAGCCAAAAATGCCGACGTTTCGGAGATGTTCTGAGCCTCATCAGAGTCACTCGGCTCCTAACCCCTCCCCATTTTAGCAAGAAAGGGAATCCAGGTTCCAGAATGCAAACTGTAGTGCATATAACCATTATTCACACAGAATAAGACAGCATATCATTAGAGTCTATGAGAGGGTTACTATAACAGCTGCTGAAACCATACAGGATCAGTAACCAAACAAAAACTCAAAGAAACTAACACATGCAGTGAAACAGAACAAATTATTGAAATGACATAACAAGCATGACCCACGGACCCCATAACTACAGCTAATGTCGCTGAACACAGGTGCCAATTCTCCCACATCCCACTGCGTATCTGCGTCGTTTTCCTTAATTGAAAAGCAATGGGCCTCAAGCAATTAAAATGTATGTATATAGTATTGTGCAAGATAGCCAACAGCCAGTAAGTGTATATTTCCTCAGAAAAAAACAAACATTTTAACATTATAAAACTCAGTAATAACAGTAATACAATAAAAAAAGGTAAGAATTTCTTGTGTTCTCCAAAACGTTGGATGAAGAACATCGCTTCAGTTCCCAAACCCGTCCTCAGGGGCATACCAGCCATTCCAAATATTTGTCAATCTAAATTTCACTAACAGCTCATTTAATTAACTTAATTAGTCACTTAACTGGATGAGGGATTGAGTTCTACAAATACAGGCGTGTATTGGATGGTTGCTTCAAATACTGGGGTAACTTTAGAAAAGCGTTCAAATGGCTCTGCTGACGCACACCGACAGACATAAAAATCATACATTTACACCAATTTAAGCTGCCTAAAAGTTCTGTTCTGTGCACACTACAGGCGATTACTCCAGGACTACATAAGAAGCTTGGCTTCCACCAAAAAAATGCCAAAAGAATTTAATTAGTCAATATAAAAATGTAAATGAATTTTATTTGCAATTAAAAGTGCAATCCATCTTACTACAGTAGTTGAACCACAGTGCTGACCGTTTCATGGAAGTTGCTTTCGACGACATATGTTGATTTGCCCTTTGAAATCAGGATAAATACAGCACATAGATGCCAACTGATGCAGTGATACACGAGAAATCTATGAAAGATTCATGTACGCTTTGTCTAAATGGAGAACAGACAAAAGATTATTGGTCAATAAGCTTTGACTAGATGTTTTCGGAGCCCGCCCAGATGCCCTGCTGCTCTGGGAGTCTATGGAAGACTCTTGTACGCTTTGTCTACATGGAG